TCTCATTGTTGCCCATGCTGTTGCTGCTGTCACTGCTGCCACTGCCACCACTGTCGCCCCCGCCACTGCTGCTGGTGGTGCTACTCCCGTTGCCATCCTCTACGTAGCAGGCATCCTCGCTAGAAGGTTGCACCAGGCTCTCGTGTATAAAGCTCACCTCCATACACTTGGAACAGAGCGGATTCATTTCCACATGGAAAATACGGTATCCGAGGTTCTCGATTGCGTATATGAGAGGCAGCGTGACTTTGGGAACATGGATCCTGTATTGGCAGGAGGGGTAGAGGGGAAGGGGAAAAAACGGAGATGGAAAAGAGAAGGGAGAAGGGAAGAGTGAGTGAGGACACGATTTCGATGTGGAAAAAATAGTATCTGGGATTTTCAATTGTGTAGATGAGTAGTGTGACTTAAGGACATGGATCCTGTTTAGCGGGGGCAGGATGGATAGAAGGAACGAGAAATCAGGAGGAAAAGAAGAGGAAGATGAGCGAGAGGGTACGGTTTTTGTTTTTTTTTAATCGTGGAAGTGGGAGCGTGGTTTGGGGGGGGGGTACAGCAGCACAGCAGCCACCTTCCTCGGGGGCCTCATCTTTCAAGTGCCACGCCACTTATTGAGGATTTTTTAGGCGCCTCTTTTAAAAAAAAAAAAATTTAGGCACCTCAAAATTGGTGGAGGAAGAAGGAAAAAAAAAAAAACACTCATGGACACAACTAAATTGTTGATAAAAGGAACTCACTTGTGAAACTCCACCAGCAGCTGGCCGAATGGAAGCTTCCCTCCGAACCGCACAAGCCCGGCCCTGGAATCGCCACCCATGGCCTGCTCGAGGTCTTGGATCATCTCGATCTCGCACCCCTCGCAGTCTATCTTGAGCACATCCATGTAGTCCGTGTTGTGCGTGGCCATGAGCTGAAAGGGGGGTGGATGGGAAAGGAGCGCCAAAGGAGGAAAGGTTGGGTCTCGGATCATCTCGATCTCGCACCCCTCGCAGTCTATCTCGAGCACATCCATGTAGTCTGTGTTGTGCATGGCCATGAGCTGCGGGGGTGGGGAAGAGAAGGGGGTGAGCAATGAGGAAAGAGTGGGGTAACAAGGGGGTGAACCCCTCGCAGTCTATCCTGAGCACTTCCATGTAATCAGTGCTGTGAGTGGCCATGAGCCAGGGGTGGGGGAGAGAGAGAGAACAGGGTGAGGAACAGAGAGGGGTAGGAAGGGGGTGAACCCCCTCGCAGTCTATCTTGAGCACATCCACGTGTGCTGCTGTGAGTGGCCATGAGCTGGAAGTCGGAAAGGGGAAGAAGGGTTGGTGACGAAAGAAGCGGACTTAAACATGGGGTTTGGTTGGGGAACTTGATTCCACCATTCCCCCCACCTATTGTTCGCTCAATCCAGGCCCCTCATCACCAGTCATGACCACGTACCACCCTGTGTCACCCCATATCACCCCGTTTCACCCCTCATCGCCCCTTATGTCCCCTCATCTCCCCTCATCACCCCATATCACCCGTTATCATCCCTTATCATCCCGTATCACACCTTATAACCCCTTGTCACCACCTATCACCCCTTATCGCCTCTGATCACCACTCATCTGAAAAGGCTTGCTGTCACCACTTGAACGAGTATCAGTTAAAACAAATAAAAAAAAATGTAAAACACTCTCTATAAAGCATGCATTTAAAGATTAGTTCACCCGCTTTCTTCTCACCTCGGGCAGAGTCGAAAAGGTGTAGCTCGGAAACATCTTTCTGTTCTTGGAAAGTTTTGCTCTGCCCGAAAGGCCTTCGGGGAAGTAACGGAGGAAGGGCAGGGCGAGCATGCGTTGCTGCGCCTCTTGGGAGATGAAAGGGTCGAAGGTGAGCGGTACGGCCCCTGTGGCTTTGGCGATGTCCTCCTCAAACGAGTAGCTCTCCTTGCTGCCCACACTGTTTGGTGGGACAGGGGCGTATGTGGGAAAAAAAGCAGGGGAAGGGTGAGCATGCGTTGCTGCGCGTCTTGGGGAATGAAGGGGTCGAAGGTGAGCGGTATGGCCCCTGTGGCTTTGGCAATGTCCTCCTCGAACGAGTAGCTCTCCTTGCTGCCCACACTGGCTTGTATGTAAGGGGAAGGGGTGGAAGGGGGGTGGAACAGAAGGAGGGGGAGAGTGAGCATGCGTTGCTGCGCCTCTTGGGAATGAATGGGTCGAAGGTGAGGTGAGGGGTACAGCGCCCTTGCTGTGGGCGTTGGAAGGGGATGAATGTGGCACATTCTCGAACGAGTAGCTCTCCTTGCTGCCCACACTGGCTTGGTCGTAATGGGAGGAGGTGTAGGAGGAAAAAGGGGGAGGAGTGGATGCGGAAGGGGTGAGGTGGAGTGGAAGGCGGTCGGGAGAGAAATTCATGCCCGACCCCCTCTTTTCCAACTAACACCCACCTACCCACTCACCCACCCACATACACGTAAACACCCATCTTTTCCCCCACCCCCACGCACCTGTACACAATAGGGCTTGGTTTAAAAGGCAGGTGGCAGCATGCAGACCCATTGGCGCAGAGCAAGATTGTTGGGGGAAAGACACACGCTCGACCCTCCTTCCTTGACTGAGTCGACTCAAAAGTTGCCGCAGAGCATGATTGGGTCAGGGGAAGAGGCACGCTCGACCCTCCCTACTTGACTCTCCCTCCTTGACTCACCACCCACCCACAGACACGTCAACACCCCTCCCTCCCCAAACCTCCTCGCCGCCACCCCCACGCACGCACCTGTAGACTACAGGTTTGTTTTCGAAGGCAGTTGGCAGCATGCAGACCCACTGCAGTAGAACAAGAGGGAGAGAGGAGGAGCGGGGGGGAGAAGAGGGGGGGAGGATGGGGTGAGAATGAGGAAGGGGAAAGGGGTGGGTTGCCAACTGCCGGAGAACAAGAGTGTGGGGAGGAGGAGCGGGGGGGAAGGGGGTGAGGTGGGGAGGATGAGGAAGGAAAAGGGGTGGGGTGCCAACTGCCGGAGAACAAGAGTGTGGAGGGAGGGAAAGGTAGGATTGGGTGCATGAAGACAATGCCGGAAGGAAGGGGACTTTTGAGTCGACTCAAAAGTCACCTCGGAGAACAAGAGTGTGGAGGGTGGGGAAGGTAGGATTGGGTGCATGAAGACAAAGCAGAAAGGAAGGGGGAATCGGAAGAAGGGATGGGAAGAGGGGGAGATGGGACTTGGGAATGGGAAGGGGACAAAAGACAGTGGGCGGCGAGGGAGGAAAGAGAGGGCAGGGGTGCATGGGAGCAATAGCCATAGTGAGGATAGATAGCAGGAACCGGACAGCCACGTGAATGAAGTAGTGTTTTGAGACGCCTCAGCACACTACTTCAATGGCATGGGAGCGAGCAATAGGTGAGAATATCAGGAACGGACAGCACGGCCAGCTGATTCCCTTCCTCCCCACCCAGTACCCTCCCATCCCTCTCCCACTTCATTTCCCCTTTGCCCACTCTCGCACCCTATCGAACCCTCTCGAACCCTCTCGCACCCTCTCGAACCCTATCGCACCCTCTCGAACCCTCTCGCACCCTCTCGCACCCTCTCGCACCCTCTCGCACCCTCTCGCACCCTCTCGCACCCTCTCGCACCCTCTCGCACCCTCTTGCGCCCTCTCGACCCCAATTTTCCTTCCACTCCTCTTCCACCGTCCCCAGTGCCTTACCCTTTCCCATTCCCCTCTTCCACCCCTCCTTTCTCACCTTTCCGCCTTCCCCCCACACGCCAAGCCGTTGTTCGCGCGGGCAGGGGTACATGGGAGCGATGGCCTTAGTCAGCATATCAGCAACGGACAGCACGGCCGGCTGCAGGAGGCCGTTAAACGACGCCACGCGACGCGCCTTATTCGCCGCGTATGCCGCTTCCGCGCGGCACAGCTCCGAATCGAGCGCGCTTTGCGCCTTAGCGTAGTACGGCTGTAACGCGGATAACCGGCCCGGGGAGTCGTCTGGAGCCTGTCGCTGAAGCTGCAGCTCCGTGTCGCATGATCGCGACGAGTTGTACTGGACGCCCAGGAATGCGACGACCAGCAACGCGCCTGCGACGATGTACGGATTCGCACGTCGCTTCTGCGACTCGTGGCGACGCGGCGACGGCGACGGCGACTCGTTCGGGAGCAAGGCGCCCATTTTGTATTTCCCAGCTGGAGCGATGAATTAATTTCGTGAGGCCTCAATCAGCGCCGAATTACGTATGTTTCTCCTATAAACAACAAACACCAGTGTTAGGGATCTGGGACAAATGGGGAATTGGTAAGGTGCCACCTAATCTCCACACACTGGGGAGGGTGTGAAGGTGAAAGGGAAAGCAAACAACCAAGGATGCTTGACTTGATTCTTTCTCTCAGTAATGAGTTTAGTACGTTTCAAAACGGTTGAGCTGGATGAGTAGCGATGATACAGTGCCTCTTTTCTTCACTGTCTTGGAACTTAAGGAATCGACGAGGACTGCAGAAAACGCACCGACACGCCCTGAGGAAAGCAGCAAGCGCCCACAAGCCATTCACCAATCAGCAGCACACGTGACACAACACAAAAGCGATTCGCTCGGCAAAGGCAGGATGTCAAGTGGGAACGAGTGTCACTTAAACGAGGGGGCGAAGTTTGTGGGAACGAGTTCCTGTTATATCGAGGGCAGAGGAATTGATTGACCCCATGACCGACATTCGTTACAAGAGTCACACATCCTCATTCATGCTACACCGTCGAGCTCCATCAACCATTTCTTCGCAAAAACGTTTTGCGCGTTTATGCAAGACCCTCGTCGAAAGCACTCAGTTCCACATAGACAATAAACCAGCGAGGGGCTAATATCGAGGCAGCGTTTATGGGATCGCTCTCACATGCAGAACCGAGCACCTCGCATCACAAAATAAATCCTCAGCTTTCTTGTTTCACGGCGGCATTACTGCGTAGTTACACCAGATTCCCAGAATCAGACCAGAGGAATTTGCCAGCAGTTCCGCTCGCTTCAGCCACAGAGTGGGATTATTATGAAGGGACCAACGGAAGCCACCAGCCGCACCCACGACATGCTGCCTTCTAACCCTCCTGACACCTCCAACGAGCACACGGCGCTATCAATTAGCTATTCAGATACTTACTCCCAACATCCAGAAGCCTACCCTGATCACCATAACGGTGTCAGCGATGGCGAAAGCCATAGATTCAGCAGCAAGAAAAACAACACGTCTACAGTGATTAACTCTATTCCAAACCCAGATGCGGATCATGCCGATCGCTACTTGGTCAATCGAGTCGATCTCCCTCCCGTGAACCCTAGCGCGGGTAAATTTCCCTACTGCCTGGTCTGGACGCCGCTGCCAGTGATCGCGTGGCTCGTGCCGTTCATCGGCCACCTAGGGATTTGCCGGGAGGACGGCACCATTTTGGACTTCGCAGGGTCGTACTTCGTCTGCGTGGACAATTTCGCCTTCGGAGCTGCGTCGCGATACCTCCAGTTAGACCCAGCTAAGGTACGTTGTTCTTCCGCTAGGCCGAGTTTAGAGTCCGCACGCCCGTTACCAGCCCCAATACTCCCTTCCCCTTCCGCCTTCCCCACGTTCGGGCCTCTTCAGTGTGTGGGCCTTTGTTTCACAAGCAAGATTGGGCCCACATCACTCTAGTCTAGCCTCACTCGGCTCTTGTACTGCCCTCTTCAGCTGTTCTCGCTCCTCCTACTTCAGCCAAGCTTGGCATCACCTCCTGTTTAAGCCTATGCAGAACTCTGTCTATTTTCACACAGATTGGACCACCGCATAAGTCCGGCGTCGTTCCCTTCCAGTCCATTTTTCCCACTTCTGCATTCCCTTCCCTCTGCGCTCAAGTCTTACCCTCCTTCCCTCTACATTCATCCTTTTCCACCTTCACTCTACGTCCCTTAATTCTCCTCCTTCCCTTTGCGTTCCATCCTTCCCCTCTACCCTTCTGCATTGTATCCTCCCCTCCTTCCGTTTGCATTCCATACTTCAACACCTCTCGTTGGAGTTTGCATCCCTCTATTGCATCCTTCCCCTCCTGTACTCTTTATTGCATCCTTCCCCTCCTTCCATCTGCATTCCATCCCTCCCCTCCTTCCGTTCATTGCATCCTTCCCCTCCCTCCCTCCCACTGCGTTCCATTCCATCTTTCCCTTCCTTTCCTCTGCATTGTATCCTTCTCCTCCTTCCCTCTGCATTCCATCCTTCCCATCCTTCCCCTTCTTTCTTCTTTATTGCATCCTTCTCTCCTCCCCTCTGCATTGCATCTTTTCCCACCTTCCGTCTGGGCTGCATGCCCCCCTACCAGGCATGTCTGCCATCCAACTTGTCAGGGCACATCTGCAGCACACCCTTTTTCCATGCTGACTATGGCACGTCCCAGAGCTGGGACCAGGCTTTGGCAGCAACAGTGTGCACATATCAGCATGCATTCTACAATATTTTCACCTCGAATTGTCACTCGTTTGTGGCTTGCTGCCTCAATCGGATGGCATACAACGGAAGTGCGAATTGGAATGTGGTGGAGCTTGCTGCGCTTCTGTTTGTCCGTGGTAAATGGGTCAGCAACAAAGCAATGATTGGGGCGTTTGCACCTTTCGTAATAGTGATGGTTCTCGGGATCCACTCGGCAGGACTTACGTTTGTTGTCTTTTGGTTGGGCTTTTCAGCTCTTTTAGTTGGGTGGTTTGTTGTTGGAACATACGGATTCAAGGGCCTGGTGAGGAGCACCTGATACGTAGCATGGATGTCTTCTATGCAGAGTGTAAATGACTATAACTTGGTGAAATATTCCACGAGTTGAGAAGTGTGATGTAGGTATAGCAAGGATTATCTACAACGTGAGAAGAATTCTTGAGTCTCCTTTTCGCGAATCAATAGGTTCGTGAATGACACGTGAGCTGTGCCGTGCCGACACATTCACTCCACTCAGATCAGTGTGTTCCACGCGTCACCCGTTCATTTCTTATGTCCAGATCGTGAGCGGTCCCTGTCAGCATGCGGCTCGTCGACCCCAAATGCAGCTTTTTTTTTCGTAAAACACACCCACTCGACCCCCTCCCCAAAGACAAGGCGAACCCAATTTCTCAGCAGCAAATATTCAAGAATCCGCTTACCTAGTGCTCTTGATTCAACGCTGGTCCTGTTGTCGTTGCGTCTTTCTTCAGCCTAAGGAGTAAATCAAGGTTGTTAGGCTTTCGACTTACTGCTCAACCGATCTACGTCATTTCTCCTCGCGATGGCACAGGCAGTCGCCACTCCCCTTCCGTGTTGCGCAACTTTTTCGGCAGCGACCAGCACCAGCAAAAAAACAGTGCAGCTAGGTTCTCCGGCTTCCAGCTCCTTTAGCCTGTCGCAAGCCTCAGTCGGGCGATGCTTTCTAACATGTGGGAGGCAGTCACGGAGCCTCTCCTTCAGTCGGGTGGCTCGGCGCGCTGTTGTTCGTTCCCAAGCGACCGCCGAAGGTGAGCATTTCTCTGTGTTCCAGGATGAAGTACTTGCAGAATCTATCGCACACAAGATACACACGTTTATTGCTTGATGTACTGCTACTTTCGGCTTAGACAAACTCAGGTGAGTAGTGCCTTGAGACGGGGGAGATTATGGAGAACGTGACTGTCAGAACTGAATGATATGGACACAGAATTGTCAAAATTGGATGAATGTGATGTGACCTTTCGATACTAGGGATTATGTGCTGATAACAAGCAAGCCAAGAGGCAAGCGTCTGTCACAACCATCTTGTCCATACAAAGAATGCCACATTTTGCATGCCTTATCTGTTTTGCAGGTTAATCGGATAAGCAGGTTCTGATGTTTGCTTCCTAATGTGGGCGGCATATTATAACCTTTTTCCATCCCGAATCGCCCAACGTATCGCTCCCTTTATTCCCTAACAGAAGCACCCATAGCATTTCAGATCGGTGAAACGAGCCTCTCCATTCCTTTCTCTGTGGAGAGAGCTAAGGCTCTCGACGCTGCCATATCCACCCTCCTGCAAACCTTCCGGGAGAAGGAGAAGGCCACCCGACCACAGAGATGGACCACGATGGAATATCGCCACGCTGGGGATGTCAGTAACGGCGACGTTTTTATCGAGGTATTCTGCAACCCCAACGCATACGCGAATGCGTTTCAGGCTAAGGCGCTGATTACAGTGAAGGATGACCGAATGAAGTTCACTTCGGAAGGTGCTTTGAGCGCCATCAAGGCGAATGTAGATGAGTACTTGATGCGGAATGCTTGAGGGCTAGTGACTTGCTGTTCTCAACAATGGCCCCGTGGGCGCAAGGCTTGACACCCAATTAGCATTGCAAATGAGTAGCAGTAGCAAGGAAAAAGGCAGCCCTTGCATATACCAATACATACCCTGCCTTCTCATCCATATCAATTATGGATTCTAGTGCAGGACGTGCACACACAGAAAAGCGTCTCCTGATTTTTACTGTTCCTGAAGTAATTACCAAGTTCGAGCATCAGCTTTTCAGAGTTAGCTGATGCTAATAAAATGTACCATTTCTACATAATGAACTGCGGGTAATACCTAAACAACGTTGACCCTTGGGTCTGGGCTTGCACTTCTGGAGGTCGGACTCAAGCCTGCCGAGTCACGGACATTTGTCCGTTTTCCCTGAGAATTCAGGGTTAGTTTTAGCTCATCTCGGAGATTTTCAGGGTTGGTTTTTCCCCCAGCCCGGATTCCTAACGGACAGGTTTTGGGGCTCCCCCGGATTCCCGTAAGAACCACCCCCCTTCCCCTCTCCCCCTTTCTTCCTGACCTTAGACCGCGAACTTGTCCCTCTCCCACTCCCCCAACAACACCAGCCCCCCACGTTCCCCTAGCGTACTCTGCTCTTAGTGTATGTCTAGCTTGAATAACTTAGCTATATTACGCATGCATTCTCAGAGCGGGATATATAAATGCCCTGAAATTACGTCCGCTTCCCGGATAGCTCAGGGCTGTTTTCGAGGCAGCTCAGCTTCGTACGGGTTGGGCCCAGACCAATCGACAGCCCTGGTCGGACTACTCTTCCAAATCTGAGGCGCTACCCCTTCAAACAGATGTGCTGTCAAGAATTCCGCCCAGTAATACGAATTCGAGCAATTCTCGGTGAATTCCAACTCGATCAGGCGTCTGCATGTCATTCGCTTGACCAAGCTGTTACCTGTCACGTGCACACACTTACCTTAAGTAAAACGCGTACAGCGGCCGCCCCCACAGAAGCACCGTCGAACGGTGTGCAGGAGGCGAGGCAATGATTAGGTTTGTAAAAGCAATCTAGTAGAGCCATCCATTTGCATAGCTGACCTCAACCGTCGCCACTTAAGCCTGAATGATGTTCGAGCAACCTAGTCTACCGCTTGAAGTCAATAGAACTTGCAGCCGTTCTGCAAAGAGTCGTCAGTTGCCGTCCTTGCTATTGAGGCGTCCCCTGGAGAGATAATCTGGTGATGTTGTTGCGTAGCCATCACGTTTCAAGCTTCGATGTCCCTGCAAATCAACAACCATAGCGAGGAAGCAAGATTCGCTGTTGACGACCTGAGCACCATGAAGCCCTTCCTTTCTGTCTTGCAAATCCTGAAGGCTGCACCGAGGTCGCATCCAGTAAGTTGTGATCTAAGTAGCCCCTGTTACCCATTTTTATTGCGCATGCCACGGCCCGTATTTCTTCTTTCGCGAGTGTGGCTTCGTCGAATAGGAGGCTCGATCCCTGGTGCGCTTAGCAAGACTAACCAGGTCAATCTCGTCTTGAAGGATAAAGCAGGGAAGGATCGTTTGGTGCCAAGCTTACGATCGCAAGATGCGTTCCGAGGACTCTACATCGGTTGAGATTCCCCATAGTCAGTGCACTGGCTTTTCGTTACCAGTCGTTTGTGCGCGATCGCTCAGTACGGATGCTCACATGAAACATTCGTTTACCTTTCTTGCAGATGGCGTGGCTCAAAGTCCACCTCGTGTGCCACGGCGTAGGTTCCAGCCAAAAATCTGGGTGAAGCTGACCTTTTTCGTGGGTGCTCTGGTTCTGATCTGTTCGGGGATTCCTGCCATCGTCCTCTGGAGGCTGTCAAAGGCAACATTGACGGAAGAGATACGGGAAAGGCTCAGCATCGTTGCTAGCCTTCGGCAAGAACAGGTGCACCTTCATAGATGTCTGGTTTTTTAAGCCTACGGCCGCTCGAAGTGGTGTTTGTTTTTCTAATGTTGCTCGTGCTGTTATCTGGCAGATACTCAGTTACATCACGGGGAATCAAGACACAGTGAAACTGATCGCATCTCGTGTCGTCATTTCGTCTTTTCTTCTCAAGCACATGCAAGGAGAGGTGAATCTCACAAAGAGTAACAGCAAAGAGGGCACCGAGGATCTCAACTCTGCCGTAATGAGTGCAGCTGATGTCATGTCCTTGGGAGCTTACAGCAATGATGGCGGACTGTTGTTCTCCAGCACACATCCAGCTGATGTGAAACCACTGCCAAAACGCTTGCACGGACGGGCTCTGAGTGTCAGGAACCGAAACACGTCAGCGTGGTCCGGGATTCCGTACGTTGGGTACAATCATACGCTGCTAATCGATGTTGCAGCTCCCATCTACCACCAGGTGCACTGATTGATTTCCCGTTTTGTACTGTAATCTCGTTTCAATCTGTCGCTGTTGGTGGTCAAAGTTTGTTGTCACTTTTTTGTTACCTTTCAGGAAGTCTTTTGCGGAATTATTGTGGCCAAACTCGATGCCAAGAAGTTTAAGCGAATTGTGCAAGATGAGACTGGGCTTCAATCCACAGGACAGCTTGTCGTTGCCTATCTCGCTGAGAACGAGAACCTTGTCAATTTCATCATTCCTCCTGTAAAGGCTCCTTCTGTTATGAATACGACATACAAGGGGGTTGCCTTCATGGCAGCAGAAGGCCATATTGGCTACTTTGAAGGGCTTGATGTTGTAACTGTATCTTATACACAACATACATAGGCTAGAATGGTGTAGCTCTTTATGTTCTTGGGGGGTTGGGTGTACACTCCAACCACATTTTGTGGTTGGTCAAGGTTGGGTTTGGTCTTGGTCCTTGGTTGGCACTTGCTAACTTTTGGTCCTAAGGCCTACCAATCACAACCTAGCAACATTGTGGGGTTACCTACTCCACAAGGCATCTCCCCCATTGGCCAACTTAGTGGCCAATAGGGTTTGCTCCTTCTTCACCCCTCTCTTGCTTGCATGCTTGTACTATAGAGCCTCCATGGCTCATTATTCAACTACTATTGAATTCTATCATGGTATCAGAGCCAAATGGCTCACGCCACCTTCCCTCGATCCTCATGTTGTAATTCCCTCCCCGCTCCCTTACCCTAGCGGACTATGACCTACATCCGCCCACCCGCTCCTCAGATCTAGCCTCCCGCGGCTCAGTTCCGCCTCCCGCGGCTCAGTTCCGCCTCCCGCACCTCAGATCTAGCCTTCCGCGGCGTAGATCTCCTCCTCCGCGGCCTCAATCCTCCCTCCCGCGGCCTCTATCCTCCCTCCCGCAGCCCCTATCCGCTCCCCCGTGGCAGCAATCCTTCCTCCCGCCGCCACGCCTCCATCTGCCCGCCGACGCGTCCGACCTCCGCGCCGACGCGGACGACCAGCGCGGCGACGCGGACGACCTGCGACCGCCGCGGACGGCCAGCGCGCGACCCCCGACGACCAGCGCGCTGCCGCGGACGGCCAGCGCGGCCTCGCCGACGGCCCGCGCGCTGACGCGGACGGCCAGCGCGGCCCCGCCGACGACCCGCGCGCTGACGCGGACGGCCAGCGCGGCCCCGCCGACGACCCGCGCGCTGACGCGGACGGCCAGCGCGGCCCCGCCGACGACCCACGCGCTGACGCGGACGGCCACCGCGGCCCCGCCGACGACCCGCGCGCTGACGCGGACTGCCAGCGCGGCCCCGCCGACGAGCCGCGTGCTGACGCGGACAGCCAGCGCGCGGCCACGAAAGAACCGCGCGCCACCACGGACGGCCAGCGCGCGGCCGTCGACGCCCCTGCGCCGACGTGGACGGCTGGCGCGCAGCCGCGGCTGATCTGCCCGCCGTCGCGTTCGCCTGCCCGCGATCTCCACGACCTCGAAACCCTAATTCCTCCCCGCAATTCCGCACCAGCCTCTCTTCCCCTCTACCTCCTCCCCCTACTCCACCCCTAACGGCACCAGCGGCAGCAGCAGCGGCGTCGGCGGCGGCAGCAGCAGCGGCATCGGCGGCGGCAGCAGCAGCGGCATCGGCGGCGGCAGCAGCAGCGGCATCGGCGGCGGCAGCAGCAGCGGCATCGGCGGCGGCAGCAGCAGCGGCATCGGCGGCGGCAGCAGCAGCGGCATCGGCGGCGGCAGCAGCAGCGGCATCGGCGGCGGCAGCAGCAGCGGCATCGGCGGCGGCAGCAGCAGCGGCGGCACCAATACCAACAGCAGCAGCGGCGCCTTCACCCCTCCGCCGTCATGGCGTCATCCGACTCCTCGGTCGATCTAGCGACCATTGACGCCCTCGAGCTGCTCGGCGACAACTCGGCCGCCAACTGGCACTCCTATGCTCACTCCGTCGAGGTGTTGCTCTCCTCGGTCATCGTCAGTGGTTATACACTCCGCTCCGTCGTGTTCCAGGAGGAAGGCGGACTCCAGCCCATCGCCCCTTCTGCCCCCACCGGACCTCCTCCTGATGAGCCCGGACCTGAGCCCGAGTCCCCTGGTGATCCTCCCTCCTTCGCACCGGATGTCAACAATCCTCAAAGCGTGGAAACTGCCATCCGTGCCTACCGCAACACACTCAACGACCACCTTCGCCGTCAACTGCGCTATGAGGACGACAAGCGCGCCTACGACGAGGCTGCTGCCCGTCACCGCGACTACCACGCCCAACTCACCACGTACACTACACGCCTCGCTAGCTACACCTCCGACATCGCTGCGTGGCGCATTGCTGACCGCCGAGCTCTCGCCATCCTCCTCGCCACTATCCCCTCCTCCCTCAAGCGAGAACTCTCACCCACCTCCTCCTCCCACCTGTGGCAACTGCTTGTCGACCTCTTTGACCGACAGGACATCGCCACCCTCTATGCCCTCATCAAGGACTTTGGATCCATCACCATGGATTCCACTGCCGGCGCAGCCGCCTTTACTCGCCGCGTCCTTGACCTTGCTCGCCGCCTTGCAGCACTTGGTGTTACCTACCCTGACACCGTCATCTGCTGCCACCTCCTCGAAGGCCTCACTCCTGCCTTCGATGCCCACAAGCTGGCCTATATGCAACTCCTCTCCAAACATGACACTCCCGCTCAAGTTGCCCAGTGGATTATCACCACCGAGGCAGAAATCCTTCGCCACTCCTCCTCCACTGCCGCGGTAGCACAGCAGCGCAGCGGCAAAGGCGGACGTGGAGGGGGGCGTGGAGGTGGGCGTGGAGGTGGTCGAGGCGGCTCTGGCGGTCGTGGTGGTGCGGGTCGTGGTGCAGCAGCGGCCTTCCCACCCTGTCAGTATCTTCCCCTTTACGGCCCCACCCGAGGCCAACGCTGCAACCAAACCACTCATGCAACTGAGACGTGCTTTAAGGCACTCAGCGATGAGTGGTTCGCTCGTGGGAACTCTGGCACCCCTCCTCGCTGGTCCGCCCTTAATCCCCGCCCCACTCCCCTCGACGTTCGCACCTCTCCCCTCTACGCTCCTTCCTCCTCCTCCCAGGCCCACCAGGCCTTTGCTCTCCCCTCTCAGCAGCAGCAGCAGCAGCAGCATCAGCAGCAGCAGCAGCAGCAGCAGCAGCAGCAGCAGCAGCAGCAGCAGCAGCAGAGTGTACAACAGCAGGGACCGCAGCAGTACGGGCAGCAGCTTCAGCAGCTCCAGCAGCAGCTTCAGCAGCTCCAGCAGCAGCTCGACCTCCAGCCTCAGCTTCCTCTCCTCCCTCCTCCTCCTGTCCCCCAGCAGCAACCGTTTCCCGGCTGGACCGCTGGGAATGCAGCCTCTGCGGCCCACCTCTCCGGTCCCTCCCTTGCGCCGTCCACAGGTGGTAGTGTGACCCCCTTTCCCTCCTCTGGCTTTGTTGGTCTGCTTAGTCAGCCTCCCTCTGTTGCATCCCCTATGTATGCGCCTGCTACTAATGAAACTTCCATTCAGTACTCCGCCTCACCCTCCTCCACCCTTGAGTTCGTCCTGGATAGTGGAGCCACTGACAATGTCTTTCGCGATGCTGGCAAACTCCATCCTCTCCCCACACCCACGTCCCTCCTCGGCGCTGACAGCAGCTTTTCCATCCCCTGTCACAACACGTCCACCCTTCCCTGTCCTCTCTTTCCCTCAGGTACCGTCACAGGTCTTCACATTCCCTCCCTTCGCACTAACCTCCTTTCCCAAAGGTCCCTCCAACAATCCATGATCACCACTGTCACCCCAGGAGGTGCTAACCATTGTGACCTTTTCCAAACCTCCACAGGTCGCTTCCTCGCCCGCATTCCCTACTGTCACCGCTCTCGTCTATACACCCTTCGGGTTCCTCGCCCCTTCACCTTCCAAGTTGCCTCCCCCCCCCTCCTCCTCCCCCCTCCTCCCCTCCCTCCCACTAACCCACCCGTCCCCCCCCGCCCCCCTGACTCTGACTGCTCATGTCGCTCCCTCTCCCACCCTGCTATCCTCCTCCATCACAGGCTAGGTCACCCCAACTTCGCCACTCTGCGCTCCTCTGCATCCTCCGGTCTCCTCCACGGTCTCCCCTCCTCCCTCCCTCCCCTCCCAAAGTCCCCTGCCCCCCCTTGCGTCGTCTGTGTTCAGAGCAAGCTCAAGCAGCAGCCGCACCGGAGCTCCCCCTCCGCTGCAGCCCAGCCACTTGATCTTGTTCACATGGACCTCTGGGGCCCTAACCCCTCCCCCACTCGCCAAGGCCATCGCTACCTCCTCGTGCTCGTCGATGATCACAGTCGGTACTCGTCCGTCTCTCTCCTTCGGACGAAGGCGGACGCCCCGACTGCGATCATTGCCTGGCTCGAACAGGCAAACACCCACTTTGGGCGCCCTGTTCGCCGCCTCCACTCTGATGGTGGTGGTGAGTTCCTTAACAACCAGATCTCCTCCTATTGCCAGTCCCGCGGCATTCTTCAGACTTACACCCTCCCTCACTCCCCACAGCAGAACGGTGTCGCTGAGAGCCGTGTTCGGGAGATCACCAAAACGGCTCGGTGTCTCCTTGTCCACGCCTCCTGCCCCCCTTCTCTGTGGGGCTACGCCCTCCTTCATGCCGCCCTCCTTACTAACCTTTACCCTCACCCCCTCCTCCCCTCCACCACCCCCACTGAGCTATGGACAAAGGACAAACCCGATGTCTCCCCTCTTCGGGTCTGGGGCTCAAAGGCATATGTCCTCATTCACCCATCTGACCGATCCCGTTCCCTAGGAAAACTTGCCCCTCGTACCCTTCCCTGCATCTTCCTTGGTCATAACCCCTCTTCCCCCGACTATCTTTTCCTCCACCCCCCCTCCGGTCGACTAATTCGCAGCAGGGATGTCGTCTTTGACGAATCCACCTCATACTATTCCTCTCCTCCGTCCACTGACCCACTCCCACCTCTGACTCGTCCCCTTGTCTGGTCTGACACCACCCCTCCCCCTCTCCTCCCTCCTCCCCCCATCCTCCCACCCCCTTCCCCACCGCCCCCCCAGTCCCACGGTGCCCCTCCCTCGTCTGGTGACATCTTTGACCCGGACCCCCTGTCTTCCCCTGTCTCCCCCGCTCACTCCTCCCCTGGTGCCCCTCCTCCCCCTCCCTCCCAACCCTCGCCTCCCTCCCCCCCTCCCCGCACCACACTCACCCGGTATCCTCACACCAGGTCATGCGACGGTATTCTTGGTGCACCGCCCCCTGTTACCCTCTCTACCTCTACCCTCCCCCCTCTTTCCCCCCTTCTTCACCACTTCTTCCAGGCTGTCCTGCATCAAGCCCCTCATGCACCCGCCCCCTCTACTACCTCTCCAGCAGCGGCAGCAGCAGCAGCTCCAGCAGCAGCCACCGCAGCGGCACCAGCAGCGGCACCAGCAGCGGCAAGTGCAGCGGCACCAGCAGCGGCAAGTGCAACGGCACCAGCAGCGGCGAGTGCAGCGGCAGCGGCGGCCTCGGCAGCGGCACCAGCAGCGGCGGCACCAACAGTGGCACCAGCAGCGGCACCTGCGGTCATCCGCGCCTTCCACACCTCCCTCTCTGAGGACTCCCATGAGGAGTTCCTTGACCTCCACCTCTCTGACCCCTCCCTCCTTCCCATCACCTCTGACCTCTCTGGAACACCAGTCTTCGCCTTTTCCTCCGCACCCTCCACCTTCATCCCAACCACGTATGAGGAGGCCATGGCTTGTCCCGACGCCCCGCTCTGGCTCGCCGCCATCATCAAGGAGCTCGAGGCGTTTATTGCCAACTCCTCCTTCGTTGATGTCCCTCGCCCTCCCCCCTCTACGAACGTGGTCAAGGGGAAGTGGGTGTTTCGCGTCAAGCAGCTGCCAGGAGAACCGCCCGTCTACAAGGCCCGGTATTGCGCCAAGGGCTTCACGCAGCGGTATGGCTTTGACTTCTTCGACACCTTCTCCCCCACCGCCAAACCTGCTACCGTTCGCGCCGTCCTCGACCTCGCCGCTCGCCTCAACATGGAGATCCACTCGATGGATGTCTCCAACGCCTTCCTGCAAGGCGTACTACGTGAACTGATCTACATGGAGCGCCCAGCGGGCTTCCACCTCCCCTTCCCCGCTGACTCTGTCTGGCAGCTGCGCCGCCCAGTGTATGGGCTCCGCCAGGCTCCCAGGGAATGGCATGCCAAGCTTGCTGCCACCCTTGTCGAGCTTGGGTTTCGCACCTCCCGCTCCGACGCCAGCCTCTTCCTCCGCACCTCCCCCTCCCCCTTCTACATCCTCGTCTATGTTGACGATATGATTCTTCTCACTGCCGATCCTGCCGAGCTCGAGACTGTCAAGACGGAGCTGGGCAGCCGTCTCAAGTGCAAAGACCTGGGAGAGCTGCAGCACTACCTCGGCATGACCATCACTCGCGACCGCTCCGCCCGCACCATCTCTCTCTCTCAGGGCCACTACCTCCAGCAGGTCTTAGAACGGTTTGCAATGGCGCGCGGTAGCCCCCAGCCCACTCCCCTTTCGGTCGGGCACCACCTCTCCCCACCCTCCTCTCCCTCCCCTTCCTCCCATCCTTATCCTGAACTCATCGGCTCTCTCATGTACGCCATGGTCTCTACTCGCCCTGACCTTGCCTACCCCATCAGCGTCCTCGCTCGCTTCGTTGGCGCTGGCAAGCATACGGAGGAGCACTGGCAGGCCGCCAAGCGCGTTCTTCGCTACATTCGTGGCACCAAGGACTATGTCCTTACCCTTGGCGGCCCTTCCCCACCCCTCCTCCACGGCTACAGCGACTCTTCCTGGGCTGACTCTCGACCGGATCGGCGGTCCTCTCAGGGTTATGGCTTCTCTCTAGGCAGCGGCCTCATCAGCTGGCGGTCCACACGCTCCTCTGCCGTCGCCCTCTCCTCCTGCGAGGCAGAGCTCTACGCTGCAACCATGGCCGCGCAGGAGGCGCGCTGGCTCACCTTCCTCCTTGATGAGCTTGGAGCCCCCCCACGCTGTCCCACCATCTGGTGTGACAACGCTAGCACCATCCACCTCACCAAGGATGCTGTGTATCATGGGCGCTCCAAACACATTGAGCTCCGCTATTTTTTCATTCGTGAACTCGTTGAGGCCGGCCATCTTCGCCTTGGCAAAATCGACTCGGCGGCCAACCTCGCTGACATCTTCACCAAAGCCCTTCCCCAGGCGTCCCACTCCTTCCTTCTGCGCCTCCTTGGCCTCACCCCTCCTCCGGTTTTGGCGGCCTCCTGATTCCATTTTCTAGCCTTATGCATGTTGGGGGGTTGTGTTGTAACTGTATCTTATACACAACATACATAGGCTAGAATGGTGTAGCTCTTTATGTTCTTGGGGGGTTGGGTGTACACTCCAACCACATTTTGTGGTTGGTCAAGGTTGGGTTTGGTCTTGGTCCTTGGTTGGCACTTGCTAACTTTTGGTCCTAAGGCCTACCAATCACAACCTAGCAACATTGTGGGGTTACCTACTCCACAAGGCATCTCCCCCATTGGCCAACTTAGTGGCCAATAGGGTTTGCTCCTTCTTCACCCCTCTCTTGCTTGCATGCTTGTACTATAGAGCCTCCATGGCTCATTATTCAACTACTCTTGAATTCTATCACTTGACTTTCGTGGAGTTCAAGTCATAGCTTCCTACCGACCTATTGGTTATGATAACTGGGGTATGCAATGGTTCTTCATTACCTCTCTAGGCCTGCGTTCTCTGCTGCACTCATCTTCTGTCTGTTCCATCTACCATATTTCAATACTGCTTTTCATGCGGTCCTGCAGGTCTGGCAGCCACAGTTGACAAATCAGAAGCATACTCGTCAACCAAGAAGCTTGAAAAGATTATTCTTATTTCAATGTCTTGCATTTTTGTTCTGGGAATTCTGGCAGCATTTTTACTGGCCAAGGTATAACAGCGCCTATATGTTTGCTGTTCTGTAAGTTTTTCA